AAGCAAGATTGCAAAATTGGGCACCACTGACTTAACAATGGCTTTGCTTAATAAATCGCTTTCATGGCTAAGGTGGGGCTAGAGCTCACTGTCTCCTGGTTTCTACCCTGGTGCCTTAAGCTCTAGACCAGGGGTAGGCAATCTTGGCTCTTTTATGACTCGTGGACTTCAACTCCCAGAATTCCTGAGCCAGTATGGCTCAGCCTGGAAATCTCTCCCTTTCCCCTCAGCACGGCTGGCTCAGGAATTCTGGGAGTTGAAGTCCACCAGTCATAAAAGAGCCAAGGTTGTCTAGCCCTGCACTAGAGCAATCTGGCTCTCTGGAAACCTCTCTTGCAGAAGTCCGCACTTATTTAAAACGCCTATTTTAAAATCATGCCATCTACTTTGTGTTTGTAAGTGCCTCTCAAAACGTCTTTTGTATCCGCTTACTTTCCCTTTTTTTGGAAAGTTACTCAGCATATTTCCCTAAGTCCCATATCTTGCTTCAAGGAAGCCTATAATTATACCTGTGTAACTGAAATAATTACATATTTATCTTAGCCAACCTTGTTTTCTTATTTCTTCTGTAGTCTCTGTTGCACCAGTCTATTGGATGCTGTTCCGAGGAAAGGCATACTGTATAATGTAAGAAAAACACTGTACAGAAAAAAATACAGATAATCAGAATCTTTTATTAATAGTTAGGAGCTGAGGTGGAATGGTGTAAATGTGTAGTGTTGGAAGAAAAGTCTTCATCCTGGTTCATCCAAGCTGGGGATAAACATGGCAACTGCTTTGGGAAGAAGTCTGTAGTTTATTGGAGAGGAGAGCCAGACAGAAAGATGGCTCTGGCAGAAAAGAGAGGCAACACATGTAGGGAGTGGGTTTTTATACCCTCTGAAGCCTTTTGTTTTGAGTTGTTTCCTGTTCCTGTGGCATGAACTTTGAACTGAGTCTGAGTGTGCTTTTCTGGGCCTTGGTATCTGTGGTTTAATCCTATTATGTCCCAAAGATCATATCCAGCTTCTCTGGGGCTGGGCTAATGACTCTTAAGTGTTTGAGTGAGGTATGCAGATTTTAGGTCAGGGGTAGGCAACCTTGGCTCTTTTATGACTCGTGGACTTCAACTCCCAGAATTCCTGAGCCAGCCAGGCTGGCTCAGGAATTCTGGGAATTGAAGTCCACGAGTCATAAAAGAGCCAAGGTTGCCTACACGTGTTTTAGGTCTTTGTCTTCTTAATCTTCTAGCTCCAACTTTCCTGAATGGTCTGCATCTGCATTTGTACAAAGCTGGTTTCTGCTTGGGGGAGGCAGACTTGGGGCTATTAAGAAAACTGGGCATGCTTTCCTGCCTCTTCAAGATTCTGAGGAAATATACTTTTTTCTGCCCTTTTAATATTTCCTTCGCTGGGGGTGACTTCCGACAGTAGTTTATACATAACAAATGCATAGAAACTCTTATTAGAAATGTAGCCATTCAATGGTCATTTTTGTGTAATGCAGTAAAACTATTTTAAAAAGTCATATTTTACTAAGGCTCAGTTATTTTTTTTACTTCTTCCATTGTCTAGATCAAATTTTAAACTGCCAGAATGAAGCTACCTTCTTGGCTTTGAAATTGTCCAAAAATAATTCATTATTGGTACATGTTTAAGGTTGTAGCTGACATACCAGCAGATTGGCCAGGCTTTGTGTCTCTCCACAGTCACACAGCATGTACCTCGTTCAATAGTAGCAACTCTGAGAGGGATCTTGGAGACCTAGTGGACAATCATTTAAATATGAGCCAGCAGTGTGCTGCAGCTGCCAAAAAGGCCAACGCAGTAGTAGGCTGCATTAACAGAGGGATAGAATCAAGATCACGTGAAGTATTAATACCACTTTACAATGCCTTGGTAAGGCCACACTTGGAATACTGCATCCAGTTTTGGTCACCACGATGTAAACAAGATGTTGAGACTCTAGAAAGAGTGCAGAGAAGAGCAACAAAGATGATCAGGGGATTGGAGGCTAAAACATATAAGGCAGTGATGGCGAACCTTTTAGAGACCGAGTGCCCCAAAACCACCCCTCCCTGCCTGCCACCCGCCTGCCCGCGGGGCTAGCCACTGCCTCCATGGCCTGCCGCAGATCGCCCAGGCAGCCCAGCAGCGCCATGGTGGCCACACTCTCCACCCATGCCCTGCAGCATCATCTGCGCATGACAGAGCGCGAGGGTGGGGTCTTGTCTCCACTACCCGGCTGCCATGTCCTTCGCTGTGCTGCTCTGCGCAGGCTGCACCCAGGGGCAACTCTCCTCTGGGGGGCTACTGGTGAGGAAGGGGCTTTGGGGGAAGGCAAGGCTAGGGTGATGGCATGCATGCCCACAGAGAGGGCTCTGAGTGTCGCCTCTGGCATGCGTGCCATTGGTTCGCCACCACTGATATAAGGAATGGTTGCTGGAATTGGGCATGTCTGGTTTAACGAAGAGAAGGACGAGGGGGGACATGATAGCCATGTTCCAATCTCTAAGGGGCTGCCCCAAAGAAGAGGGAGTCAAGCTATTCTGCAAAGCACCAGAGGGCAGGACAAGAAGCAACGGATGGAAACTGATCAACGAGAGAAGCACCCTAGAACTAAGGAGAAACAATTAAAACAATTAATCAGTGGAACAACTTGCCTCCAGAAGTTGTGATTGCTCTTATAACTTTGAGCGGTCACTAAATGAACTGTTCTAAGTCAAGGACTACCTGTAGTGTCTCCTGCTTTGAGCAGGGGGTTGGACTAGAAGACCTCCGAGGTCCCTTCCGGCCCATTGCCTTCTATGCTGTATAATTCCAGGCATAGGAAGGTCAAAACAAGAAAACTCGCCTCTAGCCTTCTCCTTCCCTTTTCTTCCGCCACACCTCCCAGCATTCCAAGAGAAAAAAAGATGGCATTAACTCAATACAACTGAAAGGAGGCGGGCCGACGGGAACGAACCAATCCGTACGCGCTGCTCTAGAACGCGCACTAGCGGCCTCTGGGCGCGTCTAATTTGCGTCATCAGCCGGCATCAACCGGAGGAAGGTAAATAAAGAAACTTCACGTGCCAGTAATTTCCATCGGCAAACGCGTTCACACGTTGCTGGGGGTTAACCCTCCAAAATGTCAGCTCAAGTGAAGAAAAGGATAAATCGATGCAGAATGCAGAGTTTTTAGCAAGAGGTCCATGGGGAAGTATTAGATCAAAATATTAGAACAGAATATAGATGGAAGGCGCCTTGGAGATCTTCTAGTCCAGCCCCCTGCTCAAGCAGGAAAACCTGTAACATTACAGATGAATGCTTGTCCAATCTCTTCTTGAAAACCTCCAGAGTTGGAGCACCCACAACGTCTGGAGGCAAGCTGTTCCGCTGGTTAATTGTCTCAGTGTTGGGAAGTTTCTCCTTAATTCCAGGCTGTTTTTCTCCTTGATTAGTTTCCATCCGTTGTTTCGTGTCTTGCCTTGTGGCGCTTTGGGAAATAAATTGACCTCCCTCCTTTATTTTTTTTGAAGCCCAAGGAAAGCCCGGTGCTTAATTTGCGAGGTACACATCGCTGGGTTTAAGGATTACAATTTGAATCAACACTATGTGACTTAAACACACGGAGAAATACAAGAACTTGATCGAGGCTGGATGGGCACAAGCATTGGATGCTGCAAAGCCAGCAAGGACATTTTACCCAGTTTCACACAGCCAGGACTGGCACTGTTGTAGGGGACTGGAGGCTAAAACATACGAAGAACAATTGCAGGAATTGGGTATGTCTTGTTTAGTGAAAAGAAGGACTAGGGGTGACATGACAGCAGTCTTCTAATGTTTGACGGGCTGCCCCAAAGACGAGGGAATCAAGCTATTCTCCAAAGCACCAGAAGGCAGGACAAGAAGCAACGGATAGAAACTGACCAAAGAGAGAAGCAACCTAGAACTAAGGAGAAATTTCCTGACAGTTGGACCAATTAACCAGTGGAACAACCTGCCTCCAGAAGCGGTGAATGCTCCAACACTGGAGGTTTTTAAGAAGAGACTGGACAGCCATTTGTCTGAAATGGTATAGGCCAGGGCAGGGGTAGGCAACCTTAGCTCTTTATAGAATGGAATAGAATAAAACAGAATAATAGAGTTGGAAGGGACCTTGGAGGTCTTCTAATCCAACCCCCTGCTCAGGGGGGAAATCCTATACCATTTCAGAGACTGGACAACCATTTGTCTGATGGGGTTTCCTAGCTGAGTAGTGGGTTGGACTATTAGACCTCCAAAGTCCCTTCCAACTATTCTACTCTACTCTACCCTACTCTATTCTATTCTAATATTTCATTCTATTCTAAATATTCTATTCTCAATATTCTATTCTATTTTCAATATTCTATTCTCAATATTCTGTTCTGTTCTATAAGTTTGGACTTAATGTTGCATTGCTTGAAAGATTCTTTCGCTAATTTAAAAGTTTTGAAGCTGCCTTTTGCGCAATTTGGGGTTGAAAGGCGGCTTCAGCATTAGTGGCATAATCATTTTATTTTGCATTTCAAATGAACTGGCAGAGTTGGAAGGGAACTAGGTTTGTTTAGCCTAATGAAGAGGAGGCTGGGGGGAGGGAAGAGTCCCAAATTCGATGAAAGTAATAAGAGTTCCCCCCCACACACACTTTAATCCAAATATCAGCTTCTGCCCTTTGACCCCCCTCCCCTCCTTTCTGTCCCTCGCCCCCCAGCAAATAAACTTGCCCACCATTCCTCTCCTTTACTTCCCCAGCGATCAAACTTTTTTTTTTTAAAGGGGGGGGGTTTAGCGTGGAGCAGGATCCGGAACGTTCCCCCGAGCCCCTTCTCGAACTCCCCGCTCGTCCGAATCCAACCTAACCCAACCAGACCCAGACCAGGAAACGCTTTTATTATTTTTTTTTCCTTTGGAGAGAGAGAGAGAGAGAGAGAGAGAGAGAGAGACTGGGAGGGGGTGGAGCCGGGGCGGGGCCAGCGGGAGACGCGCTTTGTAGGCGAGCGGTGGGGGCCGGCGAAAGGGTGGGTGGTCCCTCCTCCTCCTCCTCCTCCTCCCCCCCTCTCCTTTTGGAACGTTGAGCTCCCCAGCGTTCCATCGGCGATTGTTCCGCGGCGCTTTCCCTTTTCTTCCCCCCCCCCCCCAGCTCTCGTTTCTCGCTTCCTCGCCAACGTTGCAGGCGGAGGAAAAGGAGGAGGAGAAGAAGGAAGAGGAGGAAAAGAAAAAAAGGCATGTCGGAACAGCGCCTCTGCCGCTTCCTTCCCGGCGCGTGTAAACAATAAAAAAAAAAAAAAGGCCGGCCAGGAAAAAAAAAAAGAAAAAGTGTCGTCCAGGGGAAAAAAGCGACGCCCGGAGCTCCGCGGGGCCCATCGCCTGCCGCTCCTCCTTGCCCGTCGTCTCCCCGGCGGAAGCGGCCCGCTTGCCCCGCGCATGGAGGGGCTCCGCTCGCTGGGGGTGAGCCTCTTCTCGGACCAGGGAGGCAGGAAATACATGGAGGACGTGACCCAGGTCGTGCTGGAGCCGGAGGAGGACGAGGAGGAGGAGGAGGAAGAAGACGAGGAGGAGAAGGAGGGCGTCGGGAGAGGAGCAGCAGCCCCGGGCCGGGCCGGGCCGGCAAACGAGCCCTCCCCGACTCCTCGGGCGCCCGTGCCGGCGTCGCGGTCCTCGGTGGCTTTCCTGGCCGTGTGCGACGGGCACGGCGGGAGGGAAGCGGCCGACTTCGCCCGGGAGAACCTCTGGGCGTTCATCAAGAAGCAGAAGGGCTTCCGCTCCGCCGAGCCGACCGCCGTCTGCGCCGCGCTGCGCAAGGGCTTCCTCGCCTGCCACCGCGCCATGTGGAAGAAGCTGCGTGAGTGGCTGGGGGGCAAAGGGGGGGGGGAAGGCCGGCTGGAGCCGCGGGAGGGAGACCCCGGGGGGAGGGGGGGTCGCTCCGGAGGACGGCAACCGGGCGCTCTCGGGAGCCGACCCTCCTTCCCTTCCGTCCTCCCTCCCTCCCTTCTTTCCTTCCCTCTTTCTTCGTTCTTCCCCCTCCCTTTTTCCTTCCCCTTCTTTCCTTCCCCCCTCCCTCCCTTCCTTCCTTCCGTCCCCTTCCTTCTTTTCCCCCCTCCCTCCCTTTTTTCCTTCCCCTCCCTTCCTTCATCCCTTCTCCCCTCCCCCTCCCTCCCATCTTTCTTTCCTCCCCCTCCCTTTTTTTCTTCCTCTTCCTTCCTTCTTCCCTTCCTTCCTTCTTCCTTCCTTCCCTTTTTCCTTCTTTCCCTTCCTCCCTCCTTCTCCTCCCTTCTTTCATTCCCCTTCCTTCTTTCCGTCCCCTTCCCCTCTCTCCCTTCTTTCCTTCCCCCTTGCTTCCTTCCTTCTTTCCCCCCCTCCCTCCCTTTTTTCCTTCCCCTTCCTTCCTTCTTCCCTTCTCCCCTCCCCCTCCCTCCCTTCTTTCTTTCCCCCTTCTTTCTTTTCTCCCCCTCCCTCCCTTTTTCCTTCCTCTTCCTTCCTTCTTCCTTTCTTTCTTTCTTCCCTCCTTCCCTTTTTCCTTCCTTCCTTCTTCCCCTTCCTCCCTCCTTCCCCTCCCTTCCTTCTTCCCTTCCCCCTTCCTTCCCTCCTTCCTTCCTTCCTTCTTTTCCCCCCTCCCTCCCTTTTTTCCTTCCCCTTTCTTCTTCCTTTCTCCTTTCTCCCTTCTTTCCTTCCCCCTTCCTTCTTTCCTCTCCCTCCCTCCCTTTTTTCCTTCCTGTTCCTTCTTTCCTTCCTTCTTCCCTCCTTCACTTTTTCCTTCCTTCCCCTTCCTCCCTCCTTGCCCTCCCTTCCTTCTTCCCTTCCACTTCCCCTTCCTTCTTTCCTTCCTTCCTTCTTCTAATCCTTCCCTTCCCCGTCCGTCCTACGTTGCCCCTCACTTAATCATCCAGGCACGCCGCTGGATGCCTTCCAGACATTATTTTTATTTTATTTTATTTTGATTCCATCCCGGAAAACTTCCTTCCAAATGGAGGGGTCGAAAGAATGGCAGTTTAGGGAAAGGGGGGGGGTGTTTCTTCCACACACCCATGTTTTTCCCACATTACGTGTTAATTATGCTGGCTTTTCATGGGGAAGCATTTCACAGTCAAAGTTGGGGTCCATAGAACTAGTTGTAAGACCGTCTGGAGGGCTTCAAATGGGATGGGTGGGTTTTAAGCCCGGTGGACGTGTGTAAAAGCAAAACAAAGAATCTGGGATGGTAGCATGATGGATGGGCTGCCTGCTTTTGCAGATCATCCATTTCTGTTGGGGCAGCAAAACCAAACCAACAAACAAAATGCATATTGCAGAAAACAATCAACAATGTACCTACAAGGTATTCTTCGTATAAATAAACCTTTCACACAGACCCTAATTCTGTAATTATAATAATAAGGAAATAGTCCTGTGATTATTAGCTGGTTTTTAATGTTCATTTTTTTTCCCCATTGGCCTTCTCTAGTGGCGTGTTTATGAAAAAAACATGTAAGCCATCTTCCGACTTGTGAGTTGCGTGCAGAAGCAACTCCTTAGATTCAGGATAGGAGGGAGGGCTGTGTTTTTACATAGTTGGTTGTAGATTTTGACCCGGGATGCTGTGAATCAGGGTTTCCCTACTTTCTGCCCTCAAGATTGGTTGGGCATCCAAATCCTACAAATGTTTGGGGCCTGGTTCAAATACAGATTCTGGGATTTCTTATCCGTGTTGTGGGTTACTAACAGAAAGGAGGTTTATTCAGGTAATCCTCAAGTTACAACCGCAGTGTCTTAGCTAAGCAATGCAGTTAAGTCAGTCTCGCCTGATTTTACAAACTTTACTTCCTTTTTGGCCCTGATCATTAAGCCAGTCACTGCGGTTGTTAAGTGAATCAGGCAGTTGTTAAGCGAATCTGGCTTCCCCCATTGACTTTGCTGCTTGTCGTAAGCCAGCTGAGAAAGTTGCACATGGGGATCACATGATCCTGGGATGCTGCAGCTCTTTCAATACTTGGTGGTTGCCAAGCGCCCAAATTTTGTTTGTGTGACGGTGGAGATACTACCGTACGATGGTTGCAAGCGTGACGTCTGGTCTTGATCACTTTTTCATTCTCATTGCAACTTTGAACCGTCACTAAACGAGCAATTGTAGGTGGAGGCGTACCTGTATTACTGGATTCACAATTGATCTTTTGTAGGTTTGGATGAAATGTCTTGCATTAACATTCATACAACCATTGTATGCAAGTCACATTCTTTGCACATAGCTGGGTACCTCATATTCTGTTAAAAGCCACAATGGCAGGGGGAGAGGTTGGCTGGGGTTTTGTGTGTTGTGAGAATTTTATATTTCCCCCCCCCCAATATATTAGTGTTGTGCCTGAATCTAGCTTTTATAGTTGTTTTCCAATGTATTAGAGCAGGGGTCTTCAAACTTGGCCCTTTTATGACTTGTGGATTTCAACTCCCAGAATTCCTCAGCCAGCAATTCTGGGAGCTGAAGTTCACAAGTCATAAAAGGGCCAAGTTTGAAGACCCCTGTATTAGAGTGAAATGTGTGAATCCAACTTTTATATTTTTCTAATATATTAGTGTCGTGCTTCAATCCAGCTTTTGTAATTTTTTCCTAAGATATTAAGAGTCTCGTGTGAATCCAGCTTTATAAGTATTTCCCAATATATTAGTGTCATGTGTGAATCCAGCCTTATAAATATTTCCCAATATATTAATGTAATGTGTGAATCCAGTCTTATAAGTATTTCCTAATGTATTAGTATGTGTGAATCCAGCCTTATAAATATTTTCCAATATATTAGTGTCATGTATGAATCCAGCTTATATATTTTTTTCTAATATATTAGTGTCATGCATGAATCTAGCTTTTATAAGTTTCCTGATATATTACAAGTGGGAATATGTGACTCTTGCTTTTATATTTTTATAATATATTAGTGTTATGTTTGAATCCAGCTTTTGTACTTTCCCCCCAATATATAGAGTGAAATATGTGAATCCAGCTTTATCCCCCTAATATATCAATGTCATGTGTGAATCCAGCTTGTATATTTTTCCTAATATATTAATGTCATGCATGAATCTAGTTTTGCCAATATATTACGTGTTTGCCAATATATTAAGAGAGACAGGTGTGAATCCAGCTTTTATATATTTTTTTTCTATTATATTAGTTTCATGTATGAATCCAGCTTTTATATTTCCCCCCCACTATATTAGCGTCATGTGTGAATCCAGCTATCTATCCTGTTCTTCAAAGAACAAGGTTGACTCCCTTATTTAATGCCAAAATACTTTTGCGCCTAAATTATGTATGCTTAGGTGAAGATTGAGAATGTATGAGTCACTCTGTATATCCCTCACACTTGTAAGTCCAGCTGAACTAGAGTGAATTTCTGAATCTAGACAAGTAAGCGTAGAGTTCCTGAAATACAGGTACCGGTAGGCCTCAACATGACTACAATTGAGGCCAAAATTTGGGTTGCTAAATGAAACATTGGTTCAGTGAATTTTGCCTCATTTTACAACCTTTCTTGCCTCAGTTGTTAAGTTGAACCACTGCAGTTGTTAAGTGGGTAATGCCGTTGTTAAGTGAGTCTGGCCTCTCCATTGACTTTGCTTGTCAGAAGGGGATCATGTGACCCCGTCATAAATATGAGCCAGTTGCCAAGTGTCTGGATTTTGATCACGTGACCATTGGGAAGCTGCAACGGTCATAAGGGTGAAAAAATGGCCACAAGTCACTTTTTTCCATGCTGTGGTAACTTTGAATGGTCACTAAGCGAATTGTTGTAAGGTGAGGACTATCTTTCTGACTCTTCTTTTGAAAGAATGTGGTGATATATATATATGTGTGTGTGTGTGTGTGTGTGTGTGTGTGTGTGTGTGTGTGTGTGTGTGTGTTTTCTGAGGTTTTCGCGGGTGTTTGTATGTAGCTCTTTGGTTATTCGGGTTTTCTCCCGCGTAAAATTGGAAGTGTCTTGGCGACGTTTCGACGAAGTCCCATTCGTCATCTTCAGGCTGGTGTTTTTTCTGAGGTTTTCGCGGGTGTTTGTATATATATATATACCTATGAAAGCTCAGCACTTGTATTAAACAGTTTGTGGAGCAGCAGAGTTAGAAGATCTGGCTCACATACTATTTGATTGTTGCCTGTACAAGAGAATGAGAGACAGGTACCTTGGTCTATGTACCAAACGAATGACTCATTGGGATCCCCATATCAAAACAACTTACCTTATGTGCGTCCAGAACTTGAAAATAACATTTAACGCAGCACAGTATTTACCGTAAACAAAATGGTTCGGTTGAGATCTGCATATGTGGGACTGATTGGGGTAGATGGCAAGGGTGATTCCAAGATATAATTTTATCATATTTTATCTATATTTTAAATTACTGTACTCTATTTGGATTTCATGTTAGACTGCATTTTACTCCAATTTCATTTTAAGTCATATTTTACTCTAGTTCCATTTTAAACTGTATTTTATCAAATTTCATTTTAAATTGCTTTTATCAAACTTTAGTAAATCATTTGTTGCTGGAACTTTGCACTTTGATCTAGCCGAAGGACTAATCAATAAAGATTTTTTATTATTATTGATCATCGCACAGTCAGCCAGATGTTCAGACTGGTTTTGGCATTTTGTCTACCTATCGAGTCCTTACCCAGGACCTGGGATAGGCAGATGTGGATGTTTGATGGTATTACAGATATCGTCGCAGAATGGAAGCAGTTCCTAGTAAGGCCGCCTTTTGCAATTGACTAATAGCGAATTTGTCAAAAATATTATTATTATTATTACTATTATTATTAACTAATCAATAAAGTTTATTATTATTATTATTAACGGTTATTATTATTATTAT